ATATTCATATTTCTGGTTATGTTTTTCTATCAGATCCCGGCCTACAATCACTTGAGAAAGGCATCTGTAACAATTTCCTTTTTCCAAATGTCTACCAAGATTGCTACGATGTTGTCAACAATAAATAGCTGAATAAGTGGTTAATTCCACAGTCGACAAATTGTAGCCTGCGTAGCAAGCGTTTCCGTAGTTGAAGCTTCTTCCGCATTCTGGCTGCGTGCAAATTGCTCTCGCTCCAATTTGCGCGCGCCCGCCAGAATGCGGAAAAAGCTCTTCGTATCATGGGAACCCTTGCTAAGCAGGCTACCATATTTACGGCATCCTGTTACAACTAGCAAATGAAGAGAATATTCCAAAGATGTACTTTGTGCTTATAAAAATCTCTGAAAGTAGTAGCTAGTAGTTTGCAGGCACAAAAAGTTTCTTGCCCCCGACGGCGCCCTCGACACAATCTGATTGGCGGAGTGAAGACTGGAACTATCGAAGGTATCGCTGACCATTTTCCCGCGGCGCAGACCAACATGGCGTCCAAGCGGATCATAACAGGGCAAGCAATGTCATCACTACAATCAAGTTTACCTTTAGGCCTTTCAGCTGCGTTAAGAGAAGAGAAGAAGACTACCAGGCCAACTAGTGTACAGCAATTAAACGAAATATCCATAACGTTACAAGGGCAGCAAACTGTCCAGGAGATCGTCAATAAAGCGACACAGCTGTTCCAATGTTTGCAAGAGACAAGCATGGTGGTAGACGAAAAGTCGAAACAAGAAGTACGGAATAACAACAAGAAAGTACAGGAGACTTTGAATGGCTTGAAAGAGCTGTTCTCCCGCCTGAGGATTTTCTATGATGAAAGTAACAGGCGTATAGAAATCCCACATGGAGAAGATTTAGAGGTTGGTTTCGTTAATTTCATTAGTGAGCTCTCAAATCAGCTACTGGTGCCCCACCGGGGGGAGGGGGTACTCCTCATATGTAAGCTATATGGGTATGTGCCACTGTGAAGGGTGTGGTTTTCGGGCAGTTTAGTCTGGGATAGGGTATAGAAATAAGACAGTTTTGGTCTAGAATGGGGTATAATTTACCTGAAAATTTAAATGACTTTGTAAGATTTTGAATTAATTAGCATATGTTGCACTACGATAGTGATAAACTTTCTACATGGAATAGAGCCAGTCTGGGATAGGCAGGCCTTCTGGTATATGGTCGGAGATATGGTCGTCGAGCCGTGAATTTCAAATAAATCTGTGAAATCCCACGAAATTCACAAAAACATGCAAAATACTGTGAAATTACATGTAATTAGAAATTGTACCAAAAGCGTGTCGGTACAACATATTTGAAACTTATCTTGGCTGTTGGGGCTGTTTACTTGCTGTAAACTTGTAAATTTATCTGAAACTTCATCACTGCAACAAGTAAACAACATCCCAAAACTACTAGGTGTTCTTAGATTAATGTTGTGAAAAACTGGGTACTCACTGTGGCCACGATGTAAAAAGCTTTGCCATTGGCACATTTCTTGAGTGCATTGTTGTTAAAAGAGCAAATGACGACCTCTGTTGAAAAGAACCTCATGGTCCAACAAATACAAACACAAACGATAGTCCATACAAGTTGCTCAAATTTTCCTGTAAAATCACCAGTTTTACAAAGGCAACACTTAAAAGTAGTCGTGTTTCACACTCATCATTTTCCGAAAAAATTTGACAAAATAGCCATCTTTTTTAGTTGAAAACATTCGTCAAAACAGTGCAAAACCGATCACTTTCCAGCAAAATTTGCCCAGAAAATTCCCACCAAATCGGCCGTTTTTACCAATTGTTTTTCAGCTAAATTCGCCCCTAAAATTTCCGCAAATTTCCCTTGAAATCAGCCTTTTTTTCTGCAAAATTAGACTTTTTTTCTGCGACCTATCAGAAGCCCTGGATAGGGTAGGGATTTTTGCTGTCTAGTCTAGAATAGGGTTGCAAAATCAAGCTGATTGTGGTCTAGTATAGAGTAAGGGTTTCAGTGCCCAGCGGCACACCTCTACCCAAAGATTTACAGAGTACCCCCCCCATTTTTTCCCTCCCGGGCTGGTGCCCAAGGGATAGATCGCATAGTAGTGAATATTAACATGGATTTTTTGGAGGAAAAATGAAATTGAGATATAAAGCTCTCTTTATTGATCACAGAAAATGAAGACAATCTGAAACATTGTACATTAAAAAAGTATCACCATTTATCAGAAGAAAGTGAAATACCAAATAGTGCCAAAGGTAAAACTGAATCACAACACTACACTACATGTAACTATGTAAGAAGTTGACTTAATGGTGTTCTGTGCTGAAGTTCTTTGACATTACACACATGCCACTTGAACCTGAAATATAACTGTAAGCAATTTGCATAATTCAGCTGAAATTGTTTGTCCATACATTTTACCATCAAACCAGATATGCTTATGGCAAGAAATGTGCATTGTTGTTCCAATACTGACAGGCAGTTTTCTCCAAAAAAAAAATATATATATATATTTGAATGATAATGAACAAAATAGCCTCCATTTGATGAAAAAAAGGCTCAGATATTTGTCCTTGGACATCTCTCGGAAAACCATTTGCTGTTCGAACAGATAATGTCTGCAGACAAATATTTGAATATATCTTTGCGTCCAGTGGAGGCTATTGTTTATCTATGTATATCTTGCTGACAATGTTACTGTGTTTGGTTTAAGTATTATTAAATAATCACAACCTAACAGCTCAAATAATAAATAGTTATTAGCATATTCTTATTGTATTTGTATTTCAGGTCATGATTCCCTTGAAATCTTCAGAGGAGGAGCCTGAGATGGAAACCTCCAATGAATCTACTGCTCTCCAGATTGAACATGACACACTTCAAGAGGTAATTTATGATTAAAAAAATGTTAATGATAAAGTAATATATCCTGGGGGAATGGGGGGGAGGGGGTACTGTGCAAAGTTCTGTACAGGGAGGCTCCACCCCTAGGTGCAACCCCTCGCCCTTTTGTATACCAATTTGACAGAAAAAGTACTCCTTCGGTACACCTTAAACTGAAAAAAGGCACTCCTTTAGCACACCTTCATATCTAGCCCATATTATGAATAAAATGGCTGTAAAGGAAGTCTTTTTGTCATTTTCATGCAGTGCCTAATAAAAGAAATGATAGGCCATAAGGTCTGTCTGTTCATAATAATATTTTAATTAAAGGCCCTTTAAAATAACTCCTACCCTTTTATATACCTCAACTTATGAAATCTCTACTCTTTTACATACCTGAAGTCTGAATACCCCTTTCTCTTTCACGGAGTCTCCCTGCATAGGCCATTATAGGGATTGCTGGGGGGGGGGGGGGGTTCAGACCCTGAGGGGGGCATCCAGTGAGAATGGCTGTTNGGGGGTACTGTGCAAAGTTCTGTACAGGGAGGCTCCACCCCTAGGTGCAACCCCTCACCCTTTTGTATACCAATTTGACAGAAAAAGTACTCCTTCTGTACACCTTAAACTGAAAATGCCTTCATATCTAGCCCATATTATGAATAAAATGGCTGAAAAGGAAGTCTTTTTGTCATTTTCATGCAGTACCTAATAAATGAAATGATAGGCCATAAGGTCCATCTGTTCATAATAATATCTTAATGAAAGGCCCTTTAAAATAACTAGATGACAGATTTTCCCACCCTTTTATATACCTCAACTTGTGAAATCTCTAACCTTTTACATACCTGAATACCCCTTTCTCTTTCATGGAGCCTCCCTGTGTAGGCCATTATAGGAAGTACCCCGGGGTGGGGGGTAATATATTAATTACCATCATGATTGATCAGGGTTAATGGGGATTGTCTCTTCTCCTTCAGACCCTGAGGGGGCATCCAGTGAGAATGGCTGTTGTTGCAGTTGAGTCTACGGTCAAATATTCTTTTGTTTTAAAAGGCATGTAAAGAAGGCGAAAGGGTCAATACAATGCAGAATTGACCCTTTTGCCTCGTTTGTGTGTCAAGCCACTGATAACTACAATAACAGCTATTGGAATTTTGCCATTTCTGGAGAAATGAGCAATTCAGTTCCTCATAAGAAGCCTATTTTTTACTCTTTTTCAGCCCCTAGCCTTTGTGTTTTCACTTGTTTAAATCCCTAGGGTTAATATTTTGTTTGTGGTCTTGAAACTCACCACAAATATTCCAATTTGACCAAGACAGAGGTCCAACATGAAAACCAGATAAGGCTGATGTTGCTTCCTCTCTAAACAATGTTATTTTTCACTGAACTTATTAGAGAAAATAGATGGTCTGCACACAGTCTACTGTCAATAGCAGGTGTCTGTCTACAAGAGGTTCCAGTGGACATCCCATTTTTCATGTAGTAATGAAGGATTTTCACAAGGGGATCCAGGATTTTTCAAGGGGGGGGGGGGNAAAATCAATGGGACATGCCCCCAAAATGTTGAAATTTGAGAACTGGAACCCGATTGAAAACTGTTATAACAAAAATACTAGCAATGCCACAAAGTAGAAATTACCTGTCCGAAGTAATTGCCATAATATTCAAAATATTTTTCAATTTCTTTTTATGTTTTCTTCTCCAGAACCACCCAACCCAGCCCCACCCCCACCTCCTAAATCCAGAGCATTTGCCATAATATTAAAAATCTTGTTCAATTTCTTTTTATGTTTCCTTCTCCAAAACCACCCAATCCAACTTTCCCCCCCCCCCCCCCC